AAATAACTAACTAGTTTGCCTCCTGCCAAGTTGGGTCTTAAATCGTGCTACGTTTGAATTAAATCATTTGTTTCTGTTGTTTGAGTGGGCTGCCTGTGAAGTAGCTGTGTAGCTAAGTGCACTTTCACTATAAATAGAACATTTACATTTTACCTTTTTTCTTCAATCAGTACACGTTAGTGGCTGTAGGTATATAGTAATAGAGAATAAGCAGTGATGAATCTGTACTGAAGCCTTTGGTAATCTAAGGATTGAACTTCCAATGAATTTTTATTGTCTGAACAAGTGAAATATTCATGGTTATATTCCTACAAACTTGAACTGAAAATTTGTTTAATTCAGTTGGGCGACTGCCGCACCTTAGTCTTAGTAATACAGCGGTAGTTTCTAAAAGTAGATATTAGTCGATCGTTGAAGTGAAATGAAATGCATAGTATCATCCTTACTTTACTTTTTTATAGTCCTGTCACAGTCATAGAGGTTCGGTCACAAAAACACTACAAAACTTTGGACATGCAGTCGAAGCTCTCGTAAGCGACCACCTCGGAAATACAAAAAACACAAAAAATGGTCGTAACTAAAGCTGGTCGCTTTCGAGAATGAGCTCTCGTAAGCATGGACCGCAAGGTGAAACAATAGAGGGCGGTAACCCACCCACTTAATAAGTGGTTTTATTTGTGATATAGACACGGCTAAACTTTACGTACAATTCTTTTCGTTCAAAACAACTCCAAGATATTTATCAACGAACCATTAGCGCAGTGTGCAGTTTCATTTAAGGGTTCATTTATATTAATCAAGAGAGAATTCTCTCTTGTATGAATAAGACTCTGAGTGGTCGCTTGCGAGAGTACAAAAACAAGGTTGAGTAATCTTACGAGTGGTCCAAGTCGCTTAAGGGAGGGGTCGCTTACGAGACCTCTCAGTACAAAGTTTAAGTCACAGTTCAAACGGGGTTTCAAACATTAAGGTGGTTGTAACCAGAGCTGGTCGCTTACGGGAGTGGTCGCAAGGAGGGCTTCGAAGGTATCAGGGACCGCAGAATCGAAGGATCATTAGAAATAACTGGAGGGCTTACAGTTCCCCGTAAAAAAAGTGCTTGTGTCTTAAAAAGATCGACAGGGGCACCCAGCGACTTTATTCTGCAAAATTACTGTTCCAAGGAGCAAATATTGCCTGGACATTTTTTTGATTCGTCTAAAATATTCGGAAAGCTTAACTGCGATTTTCGAAGATCGACAGGGGCACCCAGCGACTTTATTCTGCAAAATTACTGTTCCAAGGAGCAAATATTGCCTGGACATTTTTTTGATTCGTCTAAAATATTCGGAAAGCTTAACTGCGATTTTCGGAGGTTGTGTCCGTCACATTACCAAGACATAACGATTGTTGTTGTAAAAATGTCTCCTAAAACTTTCGGTGTAAAGACAAAACGTCCCCTAAAATTTTCTAATGCCGAGCAAGACTATTTCATGTCCTCGTTCGACCGGACCCATAAGGGCAGCTAACAGGCTTTCGGATGAGACGAAAAGCCACCTAAAACTTTCGTGACGACCAAAGTTCGCCTAAGAAATCCGAACAGATACAAAGTTTCTAGGGCAACTCCAAATTAACCAAACAGGCTTCTAAAGCACAGAGAAAACCATTTGAGACACTTCTGGCGTATTTAGAAACATTCGGTCGTTGGGTGCCCCTGGATCGATAACTTCCCCCCCAAAAAAACCCTGCAGATGAAGAAGACATTTAGAAGTAATAAGGTCGAACAAAAAAGCAAAAAAGGGAAGGTTTAGAGAATAGAACGGAAACTCAGTCATCCATATTACGTTGACCACCGATAAAAGCAATGCCAACAGAATGTACAAGAGCAATCACGATCCAATGCTGATTTAGCTCTATTAAATGTGTATACTCAAGATAAGAAAGATATATCTATTTTACTATTAATCATTTCTTTTTGATTTGGGAAATATTCATCAGTTTGTTTCAGTTTTAGTTTGCATACTTAGGTGGATTCAGAGATTTCTGATAAGGGCCGGACCAATCTTTTCGTACGTTTTAAATTTAAAACTGGGAATTATCAGCTCCCACTTCCTAAGTTTCATTTGTTAAAATTCAAAAAACATACTTTACGCTTAGAGGTGGATTGTTGTGAAAGGTTTCACTGACTAGCAAGAATTCTCTCTTGCTGAATAGTGTATTCGAGTTTGCAATTTCATATGAAAGTCAAGTATGTCAATTTCCGTTCTATTATGTCAACAATCCGTTGGCTATAAGACCCATTTAAGTGGGGAATGTAACATAGTATTAAAACAATGCTAGCAATAAAAAGTTTTTAAAAGTAACCGATGCTATAGATCTCTTCCTTTAACGACTTTAGATCCACACGAAGGAAACTCTATGAAATCGTTCAGAGTGGTGTGATTCATAATCTGATTGGACAAATCAACAGTAATCAAGGTCGGTTCGATAGGAAGTCCATTAAACGTCACGAACGTTCTTGTAGAGTTCGAAGTTCCCATTTTTCGTTTCTTTCTGTTCAAAGACCGTTCAAATACCTGCTCCGCGCCTTGGCCATTTTTAGGAATCAGAGGAAACTCATTTTCAGAGTTGGCGAAATTGGATTAATTGCTTCTTCCTGAATTTCCCTTTCACATGTTTCAACTTAACTGGTGCGGAACGTCTTTCGCAAGTGGGTGCCTGACACGAGGGAGTTAGAACCACCGTGGTAGTGTACTTGCAAAAATACGACCCGGCAAACCGCTCAACGTTATTCTCCTCTGGAACGAGCAAAAACGGTATTTTCAATTCCCCAATCTTTCCCGTCTTTTAAATCTCCGGTGCTCCAGGATTCATCAATGTATTTCCGGCCTTTTGACTCCGTTTTGCCGGCGGCGCCTTTTCAGAACATGTAAAATTCACTTCTCACTGAAACATTGTTAGGAGGATAAAACCTCAAAGCTCGATTCATTACCATTGAATTAAAAAAGTAACAAAATTTCAAGACATGCTTGTTCATCGTCATCTGTAGCATCAGTTGTCTTTCTTATTATTCTTTTTTGGAATCACCAGGACATGAATTGGGGCTTGTGGATGAAGTCTATCTCTGTTTATAGATTCTCCTACTATTTATAATTATGGTTGATATTGGAGTGTATGAGAACGGAAACGTCTCTTGAAACGTTGTGTAGGGTGGAGGAACTGAGCATGAAGGGGAATGGGATATGGCTGTGTATGCTGTATTTGATCTCTTAGGGCGAAGTTTCATTTAGTTTTTTCTTCATATTTTAACACCCACCCCATCCCAACGCCCACTTTGTACTAACATACTTGTAATCTTATTGTGAACGGGTGCCCAAGGGGAGGCGGGTGAATACATGATTACCTCTAGACTTCGGCTCAAAGCAAGAGAGGATAAAGGGGACAGAGAAGGCATCCCCCATACACACCCTATTCCATAGGTAATTCGTCTCGAGTTATTTTTAGAATCGGGATAAAGTTACCTCGCTCGCTGCGTAAATGTTTCGTGGAGGTTTCGCATGACTAAACACCGTGCAAAACATGTCGGGCGAAAGGCAATGAAAGCGTGAAGAGATCGAGAGCATTTCTGAATATTGAAGCGAAATGAGTCGGCCCTCACATGGGAAAAGGGAATCGCTGGAATCTTTGACAACCCGTGAAATCAGTTTAACTCGAAGTTGTCGTGACCTCAGTGCTTTAATAAAATGAGAAATTTCGCCGGTCTATGAAAACCGGTCGTTTGTACAATAAAGCAAGTAGGACGCCAAGTGTTATTTTTGTTGAATAATAAAAGACTAATAAAAGAATAAATATCAAACCAGAAATTGCTCTCTTCAAACTGTAAATTATAAATGATCCTGAGAGAATATTCAGTGTGTTAAGGATTTCCGTGCTGTACTGTTAGCTCTATATAAGAGAGGAAGGGCGATTCTTTTTTAATTTCCGTTTCGCTGACGCAGCTTTAGCAGAAATCTCTCTTTAGTCGTTTTCGTCGACAAAACGAATAGCAATATCGCTCTCCGCGTCTACAGCCATTTTTTTCATCGTCAATTCGTGAAGGACGCGTGGCTCTGAGCGTGGGTCATCCACGCGGAACACATTCGCGCTATGTGATTGGCTGTTGTCTAATCTCCCTTGAGATCTGTGGTGTTAAAAATAACTCGAGACGAATTACCTATGGAATAGGGTGGGTATGGGGGATGCCTTCTCTGTCCCCTTTATCCTCTCTTGGCACAAAGTCGTCCGCTTATTATTTCCGGAACTCCAATCTGCTCTCTCATTCGCTTTTGCCGCAGAAAACAGGAAAAAGTCTTCCGATTGCGATCTGCGCTCGAGAAAAATTTTGACGTTTCTAGCTGCCATTATTTAAGTCTGGAGACTTAACGTAACCGTGTTATAGAACCCCACTTACCTTACTGAATTTCTGAACAAACTGGAACAACCGGGTGCTAGTAACACAGCTCAACAGTGACTGGGGTTAAGAACTGAACCGAAAACGGCTAGATCAGAAATTTAGTAATAGGAAACGGCTTACAGGAACTGTCAGCTAGGACTCTCCTTTCTAAACATTCTTTACTTTTTAAGCCAAGCGAACCCCGTCGCCCCCTCCCCTCCCCCGCTCTCCTCCAGTCGGAAACAACAAATTCGTTCCATACTTCCTGTTTTCTCGAAAATAATCTACAGCTGTACTGGTGAGATTCACGTGAATCAAGAACTGAGTGTCTATCGGTTCTTCAATCACACAGAAAATGAAAATTTTATGGCCATTATTCACACTAATATATAAACCTGAACTGAAATGACAAAACATGTTCCACTTCGCCGACATAAACAGTGCGACTGAATTTATAAGAGTCTGCTTAAAAAATATGCGAGGTGATGACCTCAAAATGTCTGTTTGTTGTTTTGGTTACGCGAGCGTATTACCTTTCAAGTGAACCTAGTAAATTTAAGCTACAGGCTTAACTGAAGCTTCATGTAAAATGGGTAACCTACCCGTTAGAGAATGTGTAACTAAAGTTTATAAAGCTGCTCGTGATGGTTCTTCTGATTTGGAGGATCTTTTAAAGCGGCTGAAAACAACTGAGCAAAGAAAAACCGCTTTGGAAACAAAAACTAAAGATGGCAGCCATTTTGTGACTCCTCTCATCATCGCTGCTCACAATGGACACCTGAATTCTGTGAAGATTCTTCTGCGATATGGGGCAGACATCGAGGATCGAGGAACGGTTAAGATAGCTGACGAAGTTGTAAAGGGTTGTACACCTTTATGGGCCGCTGCTGCTTCTGGTCATCTTGATGTTGTTAAACTGTTTATTAACAAAGGAGCCTTTATGGATCTGCAAGACGAAGATGGCAACACTGCACTTCATTACGCTGTGAAAGGGGGGCACTTAAAGATAGTCAGTGAGCTTTTGGCTCTTGGAGCATCACAACTGCCAAATGATCTAGGTTTAACACCACTTCTTTATGCCTGTGATGAATGTTTCATTGAAATGGTGGAGCATATTATCAACAGACCGGAATGTACAAAGGAACAGAGAATTGATGCTCTTGAACTTCTTGGTGCCACCATTGCTAATAATAGTTCTGGTGACTCTGAGAAAGCGTTTAGTTATATGAAACGTGGGATGGAGGAGAGGTATGAAGACCCGGCACATCCATTGCTTAAAAAGAAAATGGAACCTGTGGAAGCGTATCAAAATAGAAAAGAGAGTCAAACTCTTGAGGAACTTGCTCTTTTAGAAGGTGATGATCATGCTATCGGCATGGAAGGACTTCTCAGCGAAGAGAGAATCCTTGGGTCTGACAACCTAGCAAATCTGCGAAAAATCCATTACCGGGCATGTGTTTTAGCTGACTCTGAGGACGAGCTTTGTTGTGGTTTGTGGCAACGTATGTTGGAGAAGAAAATGAAGAGCGATGTTGCAATAACACTAGAAGATCGTACAGATTTAACAGCTTTCTTTGGATTTATGGTACAAAAAGGTATACATTTAAATCCAAATTTGATTGAAGACTTTTTCGAAGCACTGGTTGCTGCAAGTGAGAACTCGCGAGAGGAGCATGAAAACGAGGAGCAAGAAAAAGTTCTTTACTGTGCTCTCTATCTTTTGATGATATACATCAAAGTTAAAGGTCAAAACGCCAACATGACTGACTTTCTACAAAGATTCTTGCGTTTAAACCCTCGAACCAATGATGGAAATACTTTACTGCACTTAGTTGCATGGCATGAAACCCCAATTTTTTCGTATGGTGATGAAGAAATAGAAGACATGATGCAAAGTGTGTGCAAGTTTCCATGTGTTGAGACCATGAAGCTTATTTTACATGCAGGGTGTGATGTAAATGCCGTTAACACCGAGGGAAACATACCTCTCCATCTAGCTGTGACGTTCAAGCCTGCTGACCCTGAAGAAGTCGTGATTTTGTCAGAAATGCTGTTGTTGTTGTTAGATATCGGTGCAGATCCAAAGCTGGTAAACAAGAATGGGAAAACACCACTGCACATCTGTGAGACTGACGAGGCTCGTAGAATACTGTCAGAGAAAAGAGGACTGAGTGCCATGAACGTCGACGTCGGAGATGTAAGAGAGGTTTAAATGTTAACATATTATAATTTTGTAAAATTATTTCTGTCACCTCTGTCACGAAATGAGAAGAGTACTTACTTCCGTGTTCAATGTTGTGTTTATTATAAATCCGTCACACTTGTCTGCCCGTCTCTATCTGCATGATCTGGACGCCTGGAGAAAGATTAATTTCCAAAATCGTCTTTTCGAATGAAACGATCCATCACAATGCCGTGATAGCCACAAAAGGCATATTTGGTAGTAGCATGTACAGAAGCCACCTAGATTAAGCTATATAATATAGCAAGCGGGCGCGCGTGAATGTTCTAAAGCGGCCCAATTGTTACTCCGGACAATTTACTGACTATAGGAACTGTTATGAACCATTCGATTGACGTTAGCGAAAAAGAATTCACACTGAATTCAAATTTTTCCAAATATAAGACGTTCAAAGAACAAATTAAACTGAAACACTAACACATTCTTTGTAAATCTCTTTTGCAGGCGAGAGAAAGGGAGTTTTCCCAATTTCCTGTTTCATTTCCCCTCGCAATGTCTCCGCTATTTTTTGCCCCCTAGCCCCAAACAGATCAGAGCCTGTTTACCAGGCTACAGAAGTGCCATATTCCTGAGGGATTTATGACAGATCGTGGTTTAGAGGTGGCTAAAAGAATCGTTTAAATAGTTTAGGATATAGTACGTTTATTGTACTAAATTACTTTGGTAATAAACATATCTGAGGGGGCATGTCCTTTTCTATTCCCAAAGGCTGGAAAAATAGAAAGTGGAACTGATCAGAGGAGAGAAGGAGGAGGATCTCTTACTGGAACAGTAAAAGATGTTAATGAAAACACGCAGAAGGAGACTGAAACAAAGGAAATATCAGGTATATAAGAGAATCAAGGGCCATTGTGGCTCTTGAAGAGAGTCTAATTAAGGGATTAATAGACCTTTTTGCTGATACGGCGGCCATATTGAACTAATTCGATTTAAAGAGTATTATGGGGGGCATGAGCACGATCAGTTGAAATATGGTCTTTCACTGTATATTTCTCGGGAAAAAGGCCATCAAACACGGAAACCTCGTTCCCAGCATTCTCTCCTACCCGCCCTACCCGTAGGGTGGTAAGGAGAGAACCCTGGGAACGAGGTTGCCAAACAACGGCACAACGATCTTTTTTCCCATTACAATCTTATTCTAAGAAAGCTTAAAGAAAAAATTCCTCGAAAGGGGCTCGTAAATACTAATAGGATTGTGCTCATACCCCCTGGGCATCCCACAATACTCCTTAAATCTAACTTATTCAATATGGCCGCCGTATCGGTAAAAGGTTTACTGTTTAAGAAGAATAAGTGTACCCTGGATAATCATTGAGCTCCATTGATGAGCCGTTAGGTGCCAGTTCAGGTGAGGTGTAAAGAGAGAGTATATTTCAAACAAAGGGACTGGGGCCAATGGCCCGATATGGCGGCTCCCTCATCGTTCAAGGCGGTAGAAGATATTTGGTCTGTTCTCACGGATGGACATAATATATGGTAAAAAAATAAACAAAACCAAAACCCAATTTAAAAAAAAAAATGAATTTTGTATTTGTAATAAATGAAAAATAAGGTAAACCCATGACAGTAAGGCCAAGAGAAATACAAGAGAGGGGAATGAGTACCTAATATTAAGCACCACACTAGGTACATTATTACCTAGAGATCGTAACTCTTTCCCCTTGAAATGACGCAGCTGTAGAAGATGGATCCCAACCTCTCGGAGTTGGTATTAGAGTGAGGGTGAGAGAGGGAGGGCGATTGTCTGTTTTTGCTCTGTGGGACAATAAACTTAAAACGGCCTCCTTTTATCCTTCTTAAAGGACAATTCAGGGAGTTGACACAGCGGTTGGAAAGTATCCAAGAGCAACTAAGACAGAAAGACGGACAACTGAGGGAAGTGACACAGCAGTTAACAAATGTTCAAGGGCAACTACAGGAGAGAGATGGAGAATTGAGGCAGATGACACAGCAGTTGACAAATGTTCAAGGGCAACTGAAGGAGAGAGATGGAGAATTGAGGCAGATGACACAACAGTTGACAAATGTTCAAGGGCGACTGAAGGAGAGAGACGGGCAATTGAGGCAGATGACACAACAGTTGACAAATGTTCAAGGGCAACTGAAGGAGAGAGATGGACAATTGAGGCAGATGACACAACAGTTGACAAATGTTCATGGGCAAATGGGAGAGTTGACGCAACAGTTGACAAATGCTCAAAGACAGCTACAACAAAAAGATGAAGAAAATACCACCATGGGGGAACAACTTAGGGAAAAAGAACAAGAAGTGAATGAACTGGAAATATCTCTTTCAACAGCTCAACAAGCGTTAAGTGAACGTCCACGCCAACAGTCACCTGATTGGGTCATTTCACGTGATCAAATTCAGCTGACAGAGAAATGCATTGGTAAAGGCGGCTGGGGAAGTGTTGTCGAAGGCAAATATTGTGGCTGCACTGTTGCCGTGAAACAGATTTACGAGGTGCTTCTGAACCTTTCCTCTCATAACAGAGAAATGTTTGAGCGGGAAATGAGCATTGCTTCAAAATGCCGCCATCCTTGTTTGCTGCAATTCATCGGAGCAACAAACGATGAAGGAAGTCCTTTGTTCGTGACCGAGCTCATGGAAACGAGTTTGCGAAAATTGCTGGAGCAGCGATCTCTCTCTACAACTGAAGTGGTCGTTATTTCTCTGGATGTGGCTCGTGCATTGAATTACCTGCACCAAAAGAAACCACGCCCCATCATCCACCGCGATATCAGCAGCGCCAATGTGTTGCTATGGCGACAAGAGGACCAATGGCGAGGCAAAGTGTCGGATTATGGTGCTGCTAATTTCATGCAACATACCTTGTCAGTTTGTCCAGGTGCTGCAGTATATAGTGCTCCTGAAGCGTTTACTAAAAATCAGACTGTGAAGGTATGTCGTCTGCTAAACTTAATCTCCAAACAAAGAGCCCGTTTACAGGCTAATTTAGAATATTGAATCCCTGCGATATACCGAAGGAGAAAGACCCAACGGCTAAAAAAATGCATTTTATGGCTGTGAAAAAGTAGAGAAAACGTTCTGGTTTTGTGATACAGGGATACTTATTTCTGTCAAAAAGGTATATAAAAGGGTAAGGAGTTGGGCCTCTGTGGGATTAGCCCTTAATCCTCTTCCTTAGTAACCACGCTCGACTGATATATCGTCCTGATGTATTGTGTGATAAGTTAGTGACCTTAGGCCTTGATCGTCTAATCATCTAGAATCATCAAATAACACATCCTTGAATGTTATACTTGCCCTCCACTCTTCGTTTCGCGTGCGATAATGGCACAACCTCTGGGTGGAGTCGCCGGCACAAAACTTTGCTTAGTAACCCCCCCTCCCACCCAAGCAGACGGTCTTGACCAAAGATGTGAGTAGTTGGGTAAACAGTGAAAGATTTTAGTGGTCGAGTTCCGTCGTCGAGTGCTGGGTGGAAAAAAGAATGGTATATAAAAGATCTATTTGTGGTTTTACAATAATCTGAGTCCTCTTTAGGAAGAAGTCCTTTGCCCTAGGATTATATTCACTAACTTTGAAAGTGGTTTGCATTTACAAAGGAGTCAAATGATACATCAGGTGATAAGTATTGGTGTGGAACTGAAAGTGTTGTTATCTAACTGTATTTGTATTTTTAATTGTTATCGTCTATTTTTCGTCTTCAGGTTGATGTGTACAGTTTCGGTGTTCTCATCTGCGAGATTTGCATCGGGAAACTACCAAATCCTGACAGGCGTACTGAGCAAGTCGCCATGGTGAAAAACAAAGTGCTAAGAGCTCTCATTCGTAGATGTTTACAAGACAATCCTCAAGACAGACCTAGTATGGAAGACGTTATTGGTGAACTAGAAAAACTAGTTTAAGAAGGGCTTGATAGGATCTGTTCTATATTTTGTTCTATTTTTAGTTAATGGTTTTTAACAGTAATACAGAGGGAGTGAACTTCTGAAGAGATAGGAGGATGCCCCCCGCCATCACCACTACCACACCCCAGTCATGACACGTACGGGCGACAACTAAAACGTGACTTGCGTGGGGAACAAGAACCGAGATATATTCTGCGTTATCATTCTCACGCTACACGTAGTATATTCGGTGAAACAAACTCCATTTTATCTTTCGCGTCTTTTTTTTTTTTTTGCAGTAAATTCAGCACGTCAGATTTGAAGAGTACGCTCATACGTTTCTGGTATATATGTTGTGGTTCAATTTTTTCTTTGGCTTAATTTTTATCTTCCTTTGTTCCAAACTCATTATCATACATTACAATGCCTAAAAATAAAGGGAAAATAAAAATTGAACCAAGGATGAAATAACCACAACATATACGTTGCTGTTCTATAAACGTGCTAGAAGACAGTGTGGTCATGAATGTGGTGCACGCGTTAGACTCGCAATCCGGAGGTTCCATGTTTCAATCCGCATCTGGAGGTCTCGAGTCCCGCCATAACCATTAGATAGACCGGTTTAACGGTTCTCCTCAGTTGAACTCCTCAATTCCGCTTGTAAATAACTAACTGGTTTGCCTCCTGCCAAGTTGGGCCTTAAATCGTGCTACGTTTGAATTAAATCACTTGTTTCGGGTTGTTTGAGTGGGGTGCCTGTGAAGTAGCTGGATAGCTAAGTGCACTTCCTCTATAAATAGAACATTTACATTTAACCATTTTTCATCAATCAGTATAGGTTTGTGGCTGCAGGTAGTGTTAGAAAATTAGAAGTAAAAACTGTCAAGGCCTTTGGCAGTCTAAGGATTGAACTTCCATTGAACTGTCACTGATTTTCATTATCTGATCAAGTGCATGAGACGCGATTCTTTTGGTCAGCGCCATATGCCTGGCGCTGACCAAAGGGGTCGCGGCTTTTCGGTACAAGAATGGAGCAAGCGATAAAGGCCGAAAAAAAAGGTACGCCTAGCACATTTTTATTCGTGTAAACATTAAAATTTGTTTAATTCAGTTAGGCAGTTGCCCAACCTTAGTCGTAGTATATACTGAGGATGACTTGATTTACATACGAAAAAGCTTAACCTTTTTTACCTCGAACTGTAGGTTAGATATAAGCTACAGGCTCTGCGATAACTCAGTTTTAAAAGTATATATATAGGTCTTTGAAATATGTGAAATAAACGCGCGTAATCTTTATTTTTCTTAGTATTGTCCTGTTACTCTTATAGATACTCTGTCAGGAAAGTATTGGAGAAATTCGGACATGAGTGAACTTTGTATGCGCAGGACCGAAGGACCATTAGAAATAACTGGAGGACCGACAATTCTCTGTAAAAACATGATTGTGACTTAAAAAGATCAATAAACCCAGAAAAAAATCCTGCACATATATAAGACATTAAGAAATAAGTTAGAGCAAGAAAAGCAAAAAAAGAAAAAAAGATTTACAGAATACAGGGTAAACTCAGCCTTCTATCCATATACGTTGAACGCGAATAAAAACGGTGCCAATAAAATGTCAAAGTAGGCCAAGTAATCTTTAGATTAGTTCTTTGAATGTATAACTTTATCAATGGGCAATGCCGATTTAGCTCTGGTAAATATTTAGACTGACTCAAAATAAGGTAGAGATATTTTTACTAATCATTTCTTTTTGCTTTGGGAAATATTGGTATGTTCGTTTTCAGATTAAGCTTGCATAGGTGGATCCAGAAATTTTTCATAACGGGAGTCCAATCTTTTCCTAAGGTTAAAACGGGAAATCACCAGTTCACACTTCCCGCATTTCACTTGCGCGAGTTTAACTGAATAGTGTATTCGAATCTGTAATTTCAGTTAAAAGCCAAGTATTTCAATTTCTAAGAAACAATCCAAGGGGTGAATGTAAAATTAGTAAAACAATGCAATAAAAGTTTTTTTTTAAGTGACCGATGGTAGAAGTCTTCCTTTAGGCTTTAGATCCACACGGAATGGAAGCTGTATGAAATCGTTTGGAGTCATGTGATTCATAATTTTATTGGACAAATCAACAGTAATAAGGGACGGTTTGATAGGAAGTCCATTAAACGAGACGAACTTTCTTTTTGAAGTCATGCACCGTTCCCATTTTTCGCTTCTTTGTATTCGAAAACCTTTCTAAACCCTGCTCCGCGCCCTGGTTGTTTTCAGGAACCAAAAGAAACTCATTTAGAGTTGGCGTCTTTTGATTCCGCACTTCCTGCATGGTGAGTTCTCTTTTACATGTTTCAGCTGGTACCGAAGTGCATCAAGACAATCTTGAGCTCTGGAAATTACGAAAAAGAGGGGGATTGCTTTGGCCGATTGCGAGAGAAAAAACTGATTTGATTAGCCTGCATTCAACTGCTTTTTTACCATTTTTATGCAATTTATAAAAACAAAAATTAGCTCTAAAAAACGGCGAAAAGACTTTTCTGAAAAACATATATTTTATGAAATTTTTAAAAACGTTAAAAAAGACAACGGCGTTACGACGTTTTCGAACGTTATTACTGCGAAGTACTTCTGCTAGACAAACTCACATTAATACTACAGAGATAAACTACTGTTTGCTGAAAACTAGAGCTAGACAAATAAATAAATGCCTGAGAAATCATAAACATCCTTTAGCCATCGAGCAAAGTCTCCATTTGGGAGAGTCGCGAGAAGTCACGCGAGAGCCGCACGCGAAAGGAGACGCGGGTTCAAAGGGCGGGGAAAAGAAAAGACCTCCGCCCTTCTCGCGGTTTCGCTGCACGCTCGCGCGTCCTCTCGCCATAAACATGCTTCTGATTATGAGACCCGTTAACGCTAGCCAAAACTAAAATGCAACCTATTGAAAGGAAAGAGGCAGCATGCTAGCATGAAAACAAGCTAACAAGAGTCAAAGTATTTCTTACCTTACAAGTACAAGAACCCAGTGAGCATCGACAGAAGTTTGATGGAACAGGCTAAGCGCGGCCAACTTGCAAAACGTAGACTGACGGGCGCAGCTTTAGCATCGTGTAAATGTTGAGCATCTGAGGGACCAGAAGTGCACGAAACACCGAAAAGACTGAGCACGCTTGGGAAGAGAAATTGGCCTTTCATAAGAAACCCACATTGCACGTACAGACACGTATGAGATACTCACGGTCTATACGTATTTTGATGGTATATTGCGAAGTCCCCAGAGAGAACCATGATTTCCGATATTTTAACAAGTGTGCTAGCTTGGGTCGCAAACAATGTACAGACTATACAAAGGTTTAGACCTATGGTTTAGACGATGCATGGGCCGGCTGCAGTGCCGGCTATTAAACGGCATGCAATAAAAAGAGCCTGAGCAGAAACTTAAATAATTCGTTATCATATTTTCACCTTTCTCAACTGCCAATTGAGTGATCTCAAACGTTGAACTGAGAACAGATATATCGGGAACCGCACAATCACCATTCCACGTGTGAAGCAGGCATCAACTTGGCACGTGCACCACACTTTTTGAGAAAAAAAAGGTAACAAAGGCGTGATTCACGCAAAGTTGACGTTTGCTAATCAAAAGTACCATGCTAATTGTTGTTCTTGTTGTCGCTGTCGTGGTTGGTCAATACAACAACAACAACAACTGTTATTGACGCCTTATAGAGTGTTTTCACTCACGTGGCCAGCATCTATGCAAATTTATGGGAACAAAAGAAAGCGTTTGCATAAGAAAAGAGTTCAACTCTCAGAGGATTGGTTTGGGACACCAACATGGCCGCCGTTTCATTGTTTTGGGACACCAATATGTCCGCCGTGACGTCATGTGGAAACACTTTCTTATTAAAAAAAATGGAAAACGTTGGACTTTTTCGAGAGTCCAATTCAACATTACAAAATGGCAACCACCAGCTGTTATATTTTTCGTTATTTTGGCTTGTGCACGGATTTTACTTTGGCGACTCGCGATTGCCCTCGAACAAATGTTACCAGCGGGGGAGGTTTACTTTAGGCCAGTGATGTCCACTAACTCACAAAGAAAGCCCAGGGGTGGAGTTGACTTTTTACAGAGGTCTACAGTTTTTTGGATTCTCTTCTTCGAGTTTCACAAAGTCTGCTGAATTCGTTTCTCTACCTGGGAAAGCTTCATTGGTTTCCATTTCTGGGGCAGTCCCATTTCTACGAGCCTAGCGTGTTTACTTTCTGTTAAGTCGGAGATCGAATTTCGTGGAAAACGTGGTGTTGGAATGAGAACGATGGGAGCTGAGATGTCATCTCGTGCCTCCTCCTCTCTTGTGTATTATATTGTATGGAGGGTGAATTTGAACAAATTATCACGAAACAAGGACAACAACAAGTAACTCCAGAGTAAGTTTCACTGACTTTTATTTGGTATTTCCTACAAATTTTAGGATCGTATTTTTACCTCATACAAACACTGTAATTTAACTGGATTGGTACTTTGGTACTATCAAAGAGCCTGGGTTACCTGTGGTATTTCATTGCTGTTTATGTTATATATAAAATACAGTTTTTCATTCTTGTTCCGTTATTATGTTGTACCTTTTTGAAAAACTTTGCCACTACAAGCCGGTGAAATGCAGAATACAGTCTGAGTTATCCACATTGCATATTTTATATTATGCAAAAATTCAGATGAGATAAAGATCTGGGCACACTTCGCCATAAAAGACGTTAGAGCGGTTTTCACTTAACTGTCGAAAGGGATTGGTTTTGGTTTTGGTTTTGGTTTTACTACGCCCTTTGCTTGGCTAGTGTATTTACTTTGGTTTTGGTTTTACGACAGTCAAGTGAAAGCCGCTCTATTAACCGATTACTGCAATAATTTTGCCAGATGGAATGTTATTTTGATATAAACTGAGAGGCTGGTAAATTCTATAAAGTAGCCTGTTCTATTATTCTCTATTCAGATACTAAACATTCCATGCTAACCTATTCCAGGC